GTTCAAAATTATTTGAAATATAAGGTTTCTAATTTTTCAAAGACCTGAAATTTGACCCCTTATAGCACCTGTAATATAAGTTTGGACAAAAAAGTTATATACCATTTAATTAAGAGCAAAAGGCAGACTATGTCTGTATTTTCCGTTGTTTAGTTATTTACATATAATGATAAAAAATAATTTTTTTACCAACGGTCCTATTTTGAACTTCAAAGGCCCATATCTCGATTTCGGAGGCTAACTTCGAAAAACGGAGAAATTACTTTTTTACCTATGACTCAATCTCTTAAGAAAAATTGGTTTGGTCCAATACCCAGCAGAATGCTGTACAGTGTAGTGATTCCAGTATCTTCCTTTATGTATATTGTAGCTTATCATATAAAAACAAGTGTAAATTTTTTTTATCTAAAACTAATAAAATTAGAAGGACGAAATTCGAGGATGTGGTATGGTTTACATATTAGTCCTTGACATATATTTTTTTCAAAAATAAATATTGGAAATTTCCAAAGATATTCAAGCATAAAGTTTTAAAAGGACATTTTCAACACTTATTCGTCCTGGTGCACCAAAATATTAAACTTTTTTTACAATTCTACAGAATTTTTCCTTTTAATTGATACCCACATTGCTACTCTTCAATGCACCAAATCTTTTAAATAATTTTTTTATCCAATCATATCCTAGAGATTTCAAAGTCCTTAAAAAAAATCCTGACGTCAGAGAGAAAAATAAAAAGGCAGTTATACGATGTTTGGCTCCTAGTTTTGTGAGTGTATTGATTTTTTCGAGTGTTTTATAAAATTTTGGTTTTTGTCGCCCGGCGTAACCTTTCTCCTTGTATTGAAGTCGGCTATAAAATGGCTAAATAAACAATGGGGTATTAATACTGGAAGTCTCCTGAAGAGAACCGCAGTTTTCCGATCGAAAAATATTGATTTTCAAGAATTTTATACTATTTCTACGACTTTGAGCGCTTTGAGCTCTCCCTAAATATTTATTCGTTTCAAAATAAAAAATAGGGGTATATATTTTCGGTATAGAACAATCCTAAATTAAAATTCCGACTTTATTTTTTCGGACCACTCTAGTATACATATGTATATTAGTAGTAACTAGTAATAATCCCCGAAAATCGGGGTGCTCCGTGGTCTAAAAAATCTGCATATTTCTTTATACTAAAAACAACATGCATTGCATTTGGTAGTTAACTTTAACTTGGTATTTGGGCAAGATCGTACCCTACTCAATACGCCATGCGTTAAGCAATCCCCTTTTCTAGGGTTTGACCTTGAGACTTATTTATTGTTATTGCGAACGCTACAATAATTTTGAATTGAATCCAGAACCTTAATTTTAAAGTAAATTATCTCTGTACGATTATAAACATATAGATACATATATAGACTTATAATACAAATAGAACCATATTTGCCTCAGAAAACATCGAAATAAACCATGTAAGATTTATATATGGGTATTTGTACAGAGGCAAAACCAACATTTTTGGTTTGCAGATCTTCCTCTGTATCCCATTCGCACGAACATAGCAATGCTTTGCTCGATATGAAACAAAACAGGGACGAAAACGAATAAATGGAACACAATGCTCAAATCAAAATAAAGGGCACAGCTCTGCAGCGATATTATTATTGATACTGTGTATGAATGTATGGATATGCATCAACGTTGTGTATGTACATATCAAGTCCTAACCGCCAAAATAACGTAAGCGACATTTTTTTCAAAATTTTCTTTTTGATGCAGAAATATTCCTAGAGCATCTAGATAAAAAGAAAATTTTTTAAAACATGTCGCTTACGTTATTTTGGCGGTTAGGGCTTGATATGTACAGAGCCAACGGGAACATTTTCTTTGCAGATCTTCCGCTGTATCGCTGCCTACATGCACACAAACGTGGCAATGCTTTGTACGATATGAAACAAAAACGGAACCATTTTTCATTCTCTTATGTCCCGCTGAGACGCTGCCTATCGAAATGGGCGTAGCAATGCTTTGCTCAATGTAAAACTTTTAAAATCTTTCGCTCCAAATAATTCGAAAATGGTTCAATGAATCTTAAATCTAAAAAGTTTGTGCAAAGTTTCAGATCGAGCACTTTAATTTGGTGTATAACTTGTCTCTGTACGACTTGCAGATCGCTGGGAATAAGCGCCTTGTTTCAGAATAATATATTTGGGCAATTCACAAGGTGCCGTATTTGTCGTGTTTGTCGTGAAGTCATGATATTTCATGACAGTTGTAAAAATGTTGTTATTGTTTTGTGAAGAAAAATAACACATGACGATACAACTCTGCAACCTATGTTTATTCGGTGTTATGTGAGGTTAAGTGCTGAGATATAATAAATAATCGTAACAGGTGTTCACAACCGTCGTGTTTTAACACAACTTTTGTTAGGAAAATATAACTTCACAACACCTTGTGAATTGCCCAATAGATTCTTTAGGGGTCTTTATACCTACGTTCTAACTAAATAGTTCATAGGTCATAGTTAATCCAAAATAAGTATGAAAACCAAGAGTACCAAAAACATTACATATATTAATTAGCACACTGCAAATCAACTTATAAATAACTAGTTTGTGGGTAGTTGGCTGAAAACAAACTTACTTTTTCACGACATCATCATTTGAAAGTAGTCGGTTAAAAATAACATAAAGTTGTTTCTGCATCAAAAAGAAAATATTGAAAAAAATGTCGCTTACGTTATTTTGGCGGTTAGGGCTCGATATGATCTGTCAAAGTATGCATTTTTTTTGTGATTCTGACCAATCATGTACTTCTTCAAATCGTTATATCTCGGGTTCTGCTGATCTTAGAGACTTCATCTAAACGTCATTTTAAAGCTAAGAAACGGGCTTAAAATTTCTATATATAAGATGGTCAAGATTGTCCTAGAGCTAACTTAGCTATCAGTTGAACTTTTTGAAGTTGATTTGCATAGTGAAGACCAGTAAATTAGGGACTTAAAATTATGCCATCGTAATTCCTTTTTAATTCTCTATAAAAAACGTGGTTAAAAAAAAATGGGCGATTTTCAAGAACTATTTTTAAAATATTTTTCTTTATGACGAGATGGTTTATTTTGTGAGAATCAAAAATTGTTTGTAAATTTTTTTCGCAAACTTATGTTAAGATATCGAGCCCTAACCGCCAAAATAACGTGAGCGACATTTTTTTCGAAATTTTATTTTTGATGCAGAAATGCATCTAGATGCTCTAGGAATATTTCTGCATCAAAAAAAAATTTTGAAAAAAATGTCGCTTACGTTATTTGGGCGGTTAGGGCTCGATATATTTGGTAAGGTCTTAACCATCAAGTTTTTGCAAGAATTTAAATTTTATTGCAGATTCCGATAGAATACCTATACCGGTATAATATTTGTACGACAAGATTTTTCTTTAAGACGACAAATCCTTAGAAATGGGCGTGGCAATTGCAGGACAAAGTTGGCCAAACGCCGACTTTATTGCGGATTTCGGCAGAATATCGCTTCGTTAACAATCTTTGTTCCACAAATTTTTCAATCCATATAGATATTCTGGCGAATCCACAATAAAGTCAAAATTTTTGAACTTTGATTTTGATATAGCCACGCCTATTTCTAGAATATTCTTTGATAGAAAATGATGTGAAACAAACATTGTTCCGCGAAGCGATATTCTGCCGAAATCCGCAATAAAATCAGCATTTTGCAAACTTTAGCCCACCAATTGCCACGCCCATTTATAGGGGTATGTCGTCTTAAATAACAATCTTGCTGTACAGATATTATATCTGGATAGGTATTCTATCGGAATCCCTAATAAAATTATACTTTTTGCAAAAACCCGACGTTTAACACCTTACTAAATATATCTCAACATAAGTTTTCGAAAAAAAATTACAAAAAATTGGTGATTCTCACAAAATAAACCATCTCTTCATAAAGAAAAATATTTTGAAAATAGTTCTTAAAAAAACATCAATTATTTAACCTACGTATTTTATAGAGAATTAAACAAGGATTACAATGGTATAATTTTAAATCCCTAATTTACTGGTATTCACTATGCAATTCAACTTCAAAAGTTCAACTGTTAATAGCTAAGTTAGCTTCAGGACAATCTTGACCATCTAATATATAAAAATGTTAAGCCCGTTCCTTAGCTTTAAAATGACGTTAAGATGAAGTCTCTACGATGGGCAGAACCCGAGATATAACGATTTTAGGAAGTACATGATTAGTCAGAATCACGAAAAAATGCAAAATTTTACAGATCATATCTCCAAAGAAACTAGCGAAAAAAAATTCCTCGAACAGGTGTTAGCTTATTTCATTTAAAGAACCCATAAAAAATATGAAGCCAATCGAGAGGATGACACCAAATTGGGTGTCTGATATGAAAAAGAATGTCTCATCTTTAGTAAATTGAGTTACTAAGGGGTATGTACAAATCTGCAAGAAAAACGGCCTTAAAGTTTGCATGCGCTCCCATGTCCAAATTAAGATGCATTTTCTTCTAATAAATTTTTACAAAACATAGAGTACCAGGTGGAGGTAATTTCTGCATACTTAACTAAACTTTTTTTTTAGATATGTATATATTCCTGCCCATGCAAACAAATTTACATAGGTATGCATGTAAGTGTGTATATACGGGCTGCTGTCTGGGATACTGGCTTGCATGAGGACACAATTTTTGCAGCATATTATCCCGTATCACTCATATTGCAGTTGCATTCATGTGCTGCATGCAATGTAAACAAAGACGCGCACTCGAACACATACTACGACCTAAAAGGGGCACGTGTGTACATACGTGCTTACGCACGCGCAAATGTCTTTCCGGCGTTCCGTGCATAATTTTGTTAATTAATTTCTTATGCATACATACATACATATCGCACCCTAAATTATAAACAGTCACAGCTCAAAAAATCCCAAATGTTCAGGAGAATGGCTACGCAAGCGACAAAAGCAGTCATAATATACTTTTCCAGTTAAAGAAGGTCGCGATGAGTTTTGGCATCTTTTTAAAGACATTTCGACGCTCATCAGAAGAGATCCGTTTCGTATGTGGCGCATATTCATGAAACCGACAATTGAGTATACTGTTGTGCATCTGGTAGTGACCGCCCGATTGGCGACTTCCGCGCTGCAGGAACGGGCATACATATCACTCATTTGTACATACATAATTTATTTTGGTTTCACTAGTATCTGGCGGTTTCACTGGTAATTTAAGAGAAAAAATTATTTTTACCTTCTCTCAGTTTCTAATAAATCCAGATACAAATACTAATTTTTCACTTAAATTGCTTTCGTGAAACTGGCTGTAAGCATTTTGGGAGTAAATTGAGAACTTCACACGCGTCTTCTGAAAAATACCCTTTGTAATTCCGGCAGTTTTCTCGCACATAAATGTGGGATATCCAAATACGCACAATCTACTAAGCTGTAAATTTCATAAATTTCATGTGTATGCGTCACGTTGGAAGCGGACGCATTCCGATGGTAGCTTTATATCTGCACATATATATGTAAGTATATACATACAAATGTGTGCATAGTAAACACACGCGTAATGATGCATGTACATATGTACAAACATATATATGTATGTACATATATAGTTTATATATGGGTATATGTATGTATATCGTTACCTTCCCTGCAGTCAAATATACTAGTTGTAAACTACCTCACAACTAGTATGAACCGCATGCCCAACTAGTCAGCCTTTTTTCCATGCAGTTAACTGGTATTTTTAACATGGGGATGTCCTACGAGATGGCACTTGTCAGATTTCGGTCGGAAATATACCAGTCTCATACTAGTTCAAAGTAGACAGAAAAATACTAGACCAATTATGGACCAAAACCACTACTTTGGGAGTAAAAAAATAAAATGAATTCATTAATATACAATAAAACACTTTTGATTAAGTACACTTTAATATATTACACATTTTTATTTAGCAGCCTTAAATTCGCCAAAAATTAGTGTTACATTTTTTGGGTATTAAGTAAAAGGAAAAATAATTACATAAATATTTCAAACTTTCCAACATAAATTTAAATGCATTTTTCATTAAATGTTATTAAAAGTAAAAGGATTCAGGTACAATAAATACTATATTTTTAACTTTTTTAATAATATTGAATAGGCAAAAGAAAACATTTTAGCTAAAAATAAAATGAATACTTTAATTAATTTTTGAGTGAACTAAAATAAAAATAAAAGTTTTCATTAATATAAATTAAATTCAGACTGAAATGTCTATTCTTTTTAAAATTATATAAAAGTAATAATTAATGTTTAGAATTTGAGATTTGGATAAGAATACAATAAATAAATAATTCAAGCAGTTATTAAATATTCTTAATTTTTCTCTATAGTTCGCCTTGACGATTGATAATAGAAATTTATCAAATAATTATAATCGTGTAATTAAAAAAAGTCGAAAATAATTGAAAATGATCCAAAAAACCAAATAATGATGTGATTAAAATTAATGAATTAATTAAAAAAATTTTAAGTAACTAATTATTAACCATTAAAAAGGTGGTAATATCGGTATTTAATCATTAGACGGTTATCCAAAAAAACATGGTTTATTTAATAATTATTATTAATAGGCATGTTTTATTCAACCATCACAAGCAAATAGCTAAATCTTGGTCAAATAAAACGAAATTAGCTTATTTCCTATGTTAGCCTAATTTTGACAGTTGTTTGACTGCAAATAGTGTCAAAGTAAGTTTTTGCCTCTTTCTGATTGGCTGAAGGAGAAAATTTCTGATTCTGAATGGCAATGCCTCTTGTTCAATATACAAGCCAAGATAGCTTTTCATAAGCCAATATAATTATGTTGGGTAAGTCCTACATACAAAATAAGCTAATAGCTTAAATTTCTAGACAAATAAAACACGGCTAATATCAATCATTATTTAACAGGTCTGGTATAATTGAATACGTACTCTCTTTAATGGTTTACAATATACCCAAATAAAAGTTATAATAGTTTGTGTACTTTATTGTATTAAACTGTCGAAGACAAATAAAACAGGACATGAATAAATCGTTTTGTACTTGGTACAAGTCTGGCCATTTTCGAACTAGCTCGGTTTCAGTCAACAAATTGTAGTTGTAAACTAGAATTTTTCCTGACTAGTTTGGGGTTTCACTGCAGGGTTAATATAGAAAGGCCCTATCTCACATAGTCGCTGAAATACAAAAAGCCGTAACTAAGTGAAAATCCAAAATTCCCGTTTTGATTGATTATGATGCATCATTGTTAGCAATAAAAAATTTTGTCAGTTTCGGAGTTAGGGTCCTTCTATATTAAGGTAACTATATGTTCCTATGTACAAACATATGTTATCATATATACATACATACATACATACAAACGTGGCTATTATTAATTCAGTAATTAATATTTTTGCTAAATATTTAATTCGACAATGACAATGGCGGTTGTGGATTATGTTAGAAATGCAAATGCATATGTATTTAAATGCACTATTATTGCAATTTCGCTAATTCGAAATATAATTTTTTTAATTGAAATTTTGTTTCTTTTGTTTTTTTTTTTTGAACTCGCACAAACTTTAACACACATTGAAGAAATCATTTATTATCGCGATAACTTAAGAAGCAAGAAAGTATGAAACGTTTTGACAGTGGAGGTAGAAAACTCGCGGCAGCACAAACATCCGATGAGCGCAAAGTTATGAAATGGACTAACCTTTTATCATTGGCATGGCCTGCAGGTATGTTTATCGATATTTGTTGTTTAGCTTGCGCGCCACTAGCTCATTCGTCACACTCGCGTCGCTCACTTAATGCGCGCTACAACATCGGAGAGGCGACTGAAAGTAGGGGCCAGTGTGACCAGATGATAACAAAGAACGAAGCCAAATTTATTTTTAAAAAAGGTTAGAAAAAGTTATGCCCCATGAAAAATTAAGTTAAAAGGAAGTCAAAGTATTGATTCCTTAAAAACTCTTCGCCAACATAAACTAGCGCCTACCTATCAGGCTAATAACGGCTACATTACTTCAAGGAATGCAAAGAAAGAGACGAAGAATACCTGTCACCCAGGTTTATTTTGAAAAATAAAAAGGTCTTTTATAAGTTTTGCGAAGAAAGTATTTTATTGTTATTTTTCTACACATTTTGCTTTGATTTTAATTAGTTTTTATATTTTAACCCTTAATTGGGCTTTGCAGCGGTAAACACTTGGAGAGAAAAGGGCAAGCAAGTCTTCGTTTGGTAATTTATACCATATCTACTGTAACCATAAGCTTATTTCCTCCATTTTGAGTCCTTTATACATTTGTCCCACATAAGGCCTTATACTCAGAAATCGAATAGACGCGGAACTGGTGACTAGGATGGACATTCATTCGACCTAAGCTTTATAGTTTTTATTTTTTGTTTGTAATTTTTTTATACAAAGTCTAAGAAAAAAAACAACAGGAAAATTACTTGGGTGCCGCATGTACTTATCTTCCAAAGTTTACACTGCTGACAAATGCAAATAAGAATTACAATTGTAAAACTAATTAATAAAATTAAGCCAAGTTATATGGAAAATTAACAGTAAAATGATTTCGACGCAAAATCTATAAAGGACCCTTTTATTAAAAAAAAAACTCTGTAACAGTTATTCGTCATCATGCTGTAAATCAAATTGTAAAAAATACAGTTTAAAGCAAGTTTCTTAGTATAATTATATTTTCAAACTAAGAGAAAAACTAAGAAAGTATTTTCTTAAAGAAATTGTACTTTGCACTGTCATTGTAATATTTGAACCGTAAACAGTAGTGTTTTGAAATATTAAGGACTTGTAGTAAAGGTACATATTTTTATTAGAAAACTCCAGAAAAAAGCCACGAAGTCAAATCTAAAGTTCTGATGATACCACATAAAATGAAATGCTAAATGCTTCAAAAAGTTCACCTGGTTACACTTGTAGGGGCGGATAACCCTTGTACACAAGAATGATAGAATACAAGATTGCGTCCATGAGAGAGGATTTTTGAGCGTCATTTTTGCGTGACGTCATCTTGGTGCAATTGTGAGAGGGAAATGCCAAAGCGCATAGGAAAATGTGTAAACAATGCGGAATGATATGTTAATATCAATATTAAATGGCCCAATTTCGCAGGAATTAATAAATATACAAAGTTTAATTAAATAGGAACACGTAGTAATGATTTTGGGCATGTAGCCTTTACGTGAGTCTGAATATCTAACCCACTCACAGTTCACGCTTTGATCCCTCGAAATCTCCCAGATACCCCTGGGGAACTTTCATTGAAATCGGTTTAGCAGTTTCGGAGATTAGCGTAAACCAACACAGTGATACGGGATTTTTATATATTAAGATAAGCACGTTGAGGGGAGCATAGAAAAAATTTCGATGAAAAAAATATTTTTTTTTCTCGAATTTAAAACTATCCTACCTTTTAAGTTGGTTTCGGAGATTAGCGTAAACGAACACAGTGACACGCGATTTTTATGTATTAAGATAAGCACGTTGAGAGGAGCATAGAAAAACTTTCGATGAAAAAAATATATATTTTCTCCAATTCAAAACTATCCTATCTTTTAAGTGGGTTTCGGAGATTAGCGTAAACGAACACAGTGACACGGGATTTTTATATATTAAGATGAGCACGTTGAGAGGAGCATAGAAAGAATGTCAATGAAAAAAATATATTTTCTCGGGTTCAAAACTATCCTATCTTTTAAATTGGAACCAACAATACAAACCCACAAAATTTCATTGAAATCGGTTAAGCGGTTTCGGAGATTAGCGTAAACGAACAAAGTGATACGGGATTTTTATATATTAATATAAGCTCGATGCGAGGCATAGAAAAAATTTCGATGAAACAAAATATTTGTTTCGGGTTCAAAACTATCCTATCTTTTAAGTTGTAACCAATAATACACACCTCGGGTTCAAAACTACCCTATCTTTTACGTTGGAACCAACACTGCACACCCACAAAATTTCATTGAAATCGGTTAAGCGGTTTCGGAGATTAGCGTAAACGAACACAGTGACACGAGATTTTTATATATTAAGATAAGCACGATGCGAGAAGCATACAAAAAGTTTCGATAAAAAAAAATATTTGTCTCGGGTTCAAAACTATCCTATCTTTTAAGCTGGAACCAACCATACACGCCCACTAAATTTCATTGAAATCGGTTAAGTGGAACACGGGATTTTTATATATTAAGATAAGCACGATGCGAGAAGCATAGAAAAAATTTCGATGAAAAAAATATATTTTTCTCGGGTTCAAAACCATCGTATCGTTGAAGTTGGAACCAACAATACACACCCACAAAATGTCATAAACACCGCACTCAGGACAGCGACCGGATGCCTCCAGATGTCACCCGAACACCACCTCCATGAAAAGGCGAAAATTCTCCCAATTAGGGAGCACAATATAATGCTCTGAAAGCAGTTTCTGGTTGGGAGCCACAGATGCGGCCACCCAAACAGACAGCTGCTTGCAGAGGAGCCCTCGCCTATACACGTCAGGAGGCATCTATATGAACTGACGGACGAAGTCCAGAGGTTCATTAAGCATCCTCTGGACCCGTCAGCATACCGACAGGCCCTGAACGGCATTCACAGGGACTTAGTGTCGAGTTATGTAGACTTTAGACCTGTGAGTGCCGTTCTAGGCACACAAACACCAGACATTGACGCGACGGAGCTCCATCTGCTTCGGGAGACAAGAAAAACAATAGCCCAACTTCGCTCTGGCTACTGCAGCAGGCTGAACTCTTACCTGAGTAGGCTAAATACGGATATGCCGAATGAATGTCCGGCATGTGGAGAGACCCCTCACGACTCGAAACATCTCTTCGCATGCCCGGAAACCCTAACGGCGCTGTCCCTGTGGACCGACCCGATAGAGGCTGCACGGTTCTTGGGGATGCCGTTAGTGGAACTCGACGACAACGACTGAGATACCAACCGATCTGGGCGGGGTTGTTGTAGCCGCTGCAACAACAACAACAACAAAATGTCATTGGTGTGTCATTGGTATCGGTTAAGCGGTTTGGAGATTAGCGTAAACGAACACAGTGACACGGGATTTTTATGTATTAAGATAAGCACGTTGAGAGGAGAATAAAAAAATTTTCGATAAAAAAAGTATTTTTTCTCGAATTCAAAACTATCCTATCTTTTGAGTTGGAACCAACATTACACACCCACAAAATTTCAACGAAATCGGTTGAGCGGTTTCGGAGATTATTCAAAACTACGCACCCACAAAATTTCATGGAAATCGGTTAAGCGGTTTCGGAGATTAGCGTAAACGAACACAGTGACACGGGATTTTTATATCTTAAGATTAGTGACCGCAAATTACAAAATTAGATTTTACAATAAAGTGTAGACCTTTGACTACAAGTGTGTGTAAAATTTTTTGGTTCGTGTCACCCATTCGAACACAATAGCCCGAAATCGTTGTGCAAATAACTAAACCGTACCCAGTTAAATCGTTATTTTGTATTCTTCAATCAACAATTGCACCAAGATGACGTCACGCACACAGCTGATTCTGTCAAATTCGCAGAGCGGATTGGTGGTACCGCGATTTGCGCAATCTCTATTTTTCTCAATCGTGACATGTACATAGATACGCACATACAGTGTTGAAAAAAATAATATAAACAAGCCAAAATCTGCAATTTGATGAATCTGCCTTCTACACATTTTCAAAATTATGTACAGATCTACCTACATATATATTTCATTCATTCATTTTCCATTATTATAATAAGACTTTTCATCTTTTATAGTTACGGTTTTTGTGGTCATAAAGCGGGACATTTCTAACAGGCTAACCTAATATTCGTGGCTAGAGTTTTGATACGCACGCCGTCGTATTAATTTTTTTGCGTCACTCGAAATGAGCTTTCGTGCGTTTGCATTTGATTTCGTTGAGCGAAATGTTTAATCAAAATGTCATGCAGAACAAAAATTGGTTGGTCCTATACAAGTTGTATGTGCGTAAGAAATTTTTGACAGTAAATTGGCGTTGTGCGAGAATATTAGGTTAGCCTGTAAAGCACAGAATCCGAACACATGATTCAATTACTAAAGATTTTGTAAGTAGCTTTTTTTCTAAAATTTGACACTTCCACCCACAGGGATGTTTTTTGGAAGCTGGAGGAAAAGGGGAAGAATTCAATCACCTTTCAAAAACTAGAGAAGTTCCACAAAAGGTGTTCATAATAGTGCATGGTAGGTTTTACTTGAATTATTTAAGTGAAACCAGCTTAATAACATCGAACATAACCTCTGATTGTTATTAAAAATAAATATTTGTATGTACATACATACATATATACCGAAGTTGCGTACGTCAGACCGCGTATAACTTAAGAATGGATGGTCCACGTCGAGCTGTTTTTCTGTTGTCTTTTTTTTCTTGTAAATTCTTTGCGATACCATTTAGGGTCGAGGGATATGAAGAAATTATTTGTTTTTGGAAAAATTATATAATTTTGATAAAGAAGACACCTAAAAAGAACATTTGGCGCTTACTTTTCTTTCGCGGTTAAGGTTGGATTGCTTATAATATGGTAGCGGGAATTCTTTGATGTTGCACATTTGGGGCCAGTTTTTCACTGCAAGTTTAACTTTTATCACGTGAACTGCGTTTATCTAGACAAGCTCGAGCATTTAAACTAAGTTTAAACCACTGGAAAACTGACCCTTAGTATTCGAAAGGCATTACGCCGTCGACCAGAATGTCAAGCATTGGCTAAC